ACAGATATTCATAGTAGCTCTACATCTACCCAGAGACTCTGCACTCACAAAAGGCTACATGTGATTAACAAGCCCTGCAGGGACATGGTGCTGCATGATTAAATATACTGAGTAAAGTGCCTGCTCAAGGATCGCAGTACAGACGTGCACATGCCTTCCCTTAAAGTTGTAACGCAAAATAAAGCAGTTTCTACAGAACAGACTAAAAGAGGTAAATTTCCTATCAGCTAATCAAAGCAACTCCCCACTTAAACCGAGATCCACATCCCACCAAGGCAGGTACCAGATCTCCCTATATTGTGTAGGGAAGGGTTCTTAGCCACTCAGCGCTGTGGATCCTGCTACCTGGCAAAACCCCTAAACTCTTTTGTGCACCGTGACCATAGCATTCCCATATTTCCGCTTACTACAGATATGCTGGGAGATTCAAAGTCTGAGGCATACAGTTCCTGTGGTATCAGGAACTATACAAATACCTCACAGAGGATTTGGGTAGACCGGCTCCTAATTTGGGACCACTGTCTCCAAGGAGGTTTTGGTATTTTTAAATGATCAATTAAAGTAGGTGGCTGAACACCAATACAGGATTGATGATAACAGCCACACACAAACTGACACTTTCTTTTCTCCTCTATCATGGCAAGTTAACTACCAAAGCAGTAATCAAGCCTATATTTCTACATACATAAGAACTCCCACTGACATAAGTATGAGTTTAGGGTGAGCTAGACATACACAAAAGTCATTCCTACTAATAGGCACATTTTGAGCTGTCAACAGTGATTTGAGTATAACACTAAGTAGTGTGAAGAGACAGCCATAATCATTCCATGTTAATTCAACTTGCAAGAAGATGAAGGTCAGGGGACAAAAAGCAAAGCAAAACTAAAACCAGTACTTGTCAGATGGAAAAGGACAAAACCAGTTGGAAAATCATTTTATTTTTCAGGCTTCTAAGAAAATTTACAAACAATGGTGGTGTAAAAAAAAGACACCCTATAAAAAAGGTTGACATCATTTCTCAATCTATAGCATCAAATGAAGTTACAGAGCAACAAGCGTACAGTGAAATTCTATTAATCAAATTAGTATTAGCTAAGTAGTTGAAAATGTAATAAGTAAAGTCTAATAATGAATCTCTACAGCTTACTCAGAAATCCCATAACAATCCAACATTCTGAGCTTAAAATATACTTACAATACACAAAGAATTCATCTCTGCAATCATCTATAGCACTGAAACCACCGAGGCAAAAATTACATAGCAAAGGCACACCTTGTGAAGTTTGTAAAGAAGGACATCTTGAGCACACTACAATAACATACAACAGAAAGCAAAACACCCTGCATGCTTGCTTATTAATCCCCAATGTCTAATATGAAATACAATAGAGAAATAATAGAAGCAATATTTAGTGACTTTCTTCATGCTGGTTCTATTCTTCATCCAGAGTGAAACAGAAAGGCTTCCTCGCCCTATTTTCTCTTTGAACCTTGGCACTTTCCCAGGTTACGTTCTCCCTATGTTCACCATCATCCTTGTCATTAGTGGAGCAAGTGGTTCTTAACCAAGTCAATCCCAATCACGAACACCACCATGCCTTCCACATACGCACGTCTTCATCCTGCAACCTGTCTCCAACTCTTCACATGCTGAACTCCAACACCCACAGACAACATGCCTAAATCTAACCTCGATTTGCCAAAGTTTACATACAGGGCAGAAAACAAACCAATGCTTATATCCTTTATTACTGCTGTAGACTTTCCTCTACTCAGGTCGCTCACTCGCTTTAAATAGTAGGCATTTAAAAACCATCAACACAATTTAATTAACAGCTTAACTTGAAATTGCAAAGGAACTCCAAACACTGGCACACTAAAGGCTTTTGAACATGAATTTGAATAAACGTGAAAACCTGGTGTCTTCATTAATCCGTAAATCAACTCCTCCTGGCCCTAACTGCATCTTAAACATATTCTGTCACAGCACAAGGAATAAGAATTATTTTTTAGTTACAGCATATGGATTTGTGCTTTCACTGTATTCATCATGAGAAAAGCCAAAGAAGGTGTCCATTAAATACTGCTGAAATAACTCATCTTGATGGTTCAGGACAATGTATCAAAAGGTTATTTTTTCTTTCAAAAGTAAAAACAAACCCATGAATCATTCCATTTAATGAGACTTCTTTCCCGAATGCTTACAAATGGGTAGAAAAAAAACGATAAGAAGCAGATGTGCACATCTCATGCTAAAACAGGAGTTAGTAAGAGTGTTCCACCAGTATTTCTCTCACTAAATTTGTTTAAATATTGACAATTACTGAAATTCTTGCCAACTGATATTAGTAGGGCAACTACAAACACCATGAAACCTGACAACACTTTGCAATAAAATATGTGGGTGTGTATGTTGTTGGGGTCAACAGGCATAAAGAAGGAGTGACATTTAGCCTTTAATGGCTTTGAAGATATACAATGGAATACTCACTTTCAGCTTCCTGTCTACCACAGATTTCCAGGGTAAACTTTGATAAATTCGTGTCTAAACTGACAATTCAGATCCCCCGGAAACATTTAGACCATGTAAGCGAACTGTACCTTAACTAATTCTTTCCTCGCTGCCTATAACAAAGCCATCTTGGAGCTTTCTGATCCCAGAGCAGAGCCCTTCTAGGAATCAGTCTTGTGCATTTTTCCCAACTTCTCTCTAACTACAGGCAGCAGACACAGGAAGCCAACAGCAGATACACTGCTGTGCACCCCACTGCCTGCACTGCAGAAAGAAGCGGAAGGCTGAATCTCAGGCTCTTGCATCCAGTCAAGCTTTCAGAATTAGGCTAGAGGGCTAGTGAGGGCCTTTGGTGCCAATGGCTGGCAAGGATGGTCTTGGAAGAACGCTGATCCTAATGATCAGTGTAGACACAACCTTAGCCTGTCACACCAGTGCCTCCCTACCTCCCAAATGCTGCAAGTACATGACAAAGTAACGTCCAAGGTGCAGTTACAGAGGCTATACAAGCACCTCAGGCAGACAGCATTTTCTAGTTTTCAGACACATGAAGGCAGCCAATGATGCAAACGCACGAAATACCTCGTGAGAAGAAAATAATCCCTCAAGTTTATAATAGTCTAATTTTTCTTTCATAACTTACTATACACTCATGCCTTTCTCATAGCAGCGATTTATGTAATCCCACATGCTCAATTAAAATGTACGCACTTCAGTGGCAATACTTAATTCTTCAAACAAAAGTCTCTCTTGCTGAATCCCTACTTCACACATTCCTTAATTTGAGCACTCCCTCTAACCTTCCCAGCCTTTCAATAGCTCACCAACACAAACAGCTTTACCTTCTTCTAGTTTAGCAAACACATTCACCAAAAAGGTCTTCTCCAGAATAGGTAAAACCAGAAATATTTTCTCCATGCAATGTACAACTAACGTATAAAGCTTACTGCCGTAAAAAGCCAAGAATTTAGCAGTGTGCAAAAAGAACTTATGGGAATATCAGTCATAGTAACAGATAGTGGCAAATGTGTTTAGAAAGGCATATGAATCTCCATGCTTCAGGTTTTAAGTGGGCCTGGCAGATGGTCTTGGAAGAACGCTGATCCTAATGATCAGTGTAGACACAACCTTAGCCTGTCACACCAGTGCCTCCCTACCTCCCAAATGCTGCAAGTACATGACAAAGTAACGTCCAAGGTGCAGTTACAGAGGCTATACAAGCACCTCAGGCAGACAGCATTTTCTAGTTTTCAGACACATGAAGGCAGCCAATGATGCAAACGCACGAAATACCTCGTGAGAAGAAAATAATCCCTCAAGTTTATAATAGTCTAATTTTTCTTTCATAACTTACTATACACTCATGCCTTTCTCATAGCAGCGATTTATGTAATCCCACATGCTCAATTAAAATGTACGCACTTCAGTGGCAATACTTAATTCTTCAAACAAAAGTCTCTCTTGCTGAATCCCTACTTCACACATTCCTTAATTTGAGCACTCCCTCTAACCTTCCCAGCCTTTCAATAGCTCACCAACACAAACAGCTTTACCTTCTTCTAGTTTAGCAAACACATTCACCAAAAAGGTCTTCTCCAGAATAGGTAAAACCAGAAATATTTTCTCCATGCAATGTACAACTAACGTATAAAGCTTACTGCCGTAAAAAGCCAAGAATTTAGCAGTGTGCAAAAAGAACTTATGGGAATATCAGTCATAGTAACAGATAGTGGCAAATGTGTTTAGAAAGGCATATGAATCTCCATGCTTCAGGTTTTAAGTCTTTATGCAACTGGTGGTCAAAACTATTTTTTCCTGCAAATACACTGTCCTGGTAGTACACCACTAATGAGTTTTTGTACACCTCCTCTAAAGTATCTGTCACTGGCCAGTTATAAATATAATACTGGATTAGTTGACCTGCTATGGATTGCCATGCTAACTTGACTATCTTCTCTTTCCCCAGTGAGAAGCTTCGCTAATCTGGCTTCTTGTGCAAGACATGCTCAAACTACAATGATAAAGAAAAGAAAAGCATCAATAAAATAAAAAATATGTGGTCACCTAAAGAGCAGCACATACTATTTGGCCTCCCTTCTTTCTTCTTTTGAAATACCAGCAGTAAGACAGATCAATGTCCTTCATGCTAAATTACTATTATATGACAAATTCAGCCCTCTCTTGTGCCTGTAAAGCTTCTGCCTCTGCCACTGTAAGCCACTCACATACACCCAAACCCAAAATTGGCCAATTTAAAGGTAATGACTGATGGCCTGTATTGTTCAGTGTTTTCTTGATCAGGCACAGATTTTGAGGAAACTGTGTGCTAAGCCTCTCAACTTGAGCACAAACAACACAAAAGTTATTACCAGTTCAAATTATAAAGGAAATAATAGTATTTATGACTTGCAACTTAAGTCATTTTAAATTAATCATGCTATATTACGTAAGGCTTGTTAGCATCTGCTCAGTGTTAGGTATTTACCTTTAGTCCACCACAGATTGGACAAGCTGAAAAAAGAGCTCTTGTCATCCCAAGGTGGGGGCTACATGTGTCATAGGGGTCCGCTGAGGCCCCACTAGATGGTGACAACTCACTACTTTTGGAGTCTGACACCTGTCCTTGTGGTTTTGTGTCTGACCACCTCGAAACAAAATCCACATATGTCTCATCACTTGAGTCCTTGCTGCTTTGTGCGAGTAAGGATGAAGGCCTCCCTCTGTCCTGGCTGTGCTCAGGTACCCTGCGTGCTTCCACGTGTGGTAGTAGCAGTTTTGGGTCACTAGCACCCTGAGGTGACAGGGCCTGGTCCTTGGGTAGCATGGAATCTGCACTCTTCGGTTGCACATCTTTAGAAGCTGCCTGTAACAAACTTCTGGGTATATCATAAATATGTCTGAGAGAGCTGGGAACCTGATACTCTGATCCTGCACCTCTCTGGGGCTCACTGTGCGGACAAGTACATAAATTCTGATCCGAAGGAAAGTTCAATGGCAAGCTTAGCAATGATCCAAACTCATCACCATGGCAAATGTCCAAGCTCCCAGCATAGGAAGAGAAGCTTCCAGAGTAAGAAGAGTGACTACCAGTAGCTATTCCACTGTCAGAAGAACTCTGACGACCTATTTCCTGTAGCTGTCTGGATCGGAGGGGCTTTGGAGGTGGTTTTGTGGTGCCACGTGCCCCTTCTGGAAGGGTCTTTTCTTCCCCAAGATGAATGCCCTTTGCAGCTGCCAGTCCATGACTCTCTTGAGAAGTGCTGGCTGAAGACTGTTCAGGCCAAATTGTCAATCTGCTCCCAACACTAACATCCGAGTGGCTGGTATCCGAAGACGAGCTTGAAAGACTTCTATCGTCTCCTAGAAAAGAAGAAAACACATCAACCTATGTTTAAAACACAATCGACAGACTGAAGCATGGCAAGTATGTACAAACAGAAAGGACCCTGAGATTCCATCTGTTTTTTGTAAGGGGAACTTCTGTCAGAAAGCCAGAATTCCTGCAATAATTCCTATCCCCACGGGGAAAATAAAATGCAAATAGTATGTTACCTTGCCATAACCCTACCACATTATGGAACATAATGCATTCAGGGCTAAATTTTTAGAGTTTATGCACCAAGTTCTCCCCTTTCAACCATATTTTACTTCCGTATAGTTAATCGGTTTTATTTTAGATACTCCTATCTTCTGTCACAGGGAATAGTCACAAAGTCCCATGCTCAGAATAGCTGAGGATGCTCTGAAGAAAACCTTGTTACTGCAACCCAAAGCCATAGAAGACATTTCCATGTTTCTATTTGATCTGAATCAACCAAATGATTATCTTATTTGTACTTTTTTTCTCTATTTAAAGCTTATCTGAATAACATCAAAGTGAATGTTGAAGAGACCACAAAAATAAAATCAAACTTAAGACTGTCCTGTTCTCTCATCTGAGCTCTCCTAGGCTGTACTTCTCCGGAATATCCATACCAAAATGCAGCCATACATCACTGTAACAAACAACGAGATTACTAGTATTATAAAAATGTTTACATATCTATATACAAAAAGATCTTCCATGACTCATTTATGCACATATTGCAAGAATTTTTTTTTCCTCACTGATACTTGCAAGAAGGACACTTTTACAGGTAACTACTGCTATCCAAGACAGAAGATGGAAGAAAAAAAATAAACATTAGCATGAAAGGGCATAAGGACAAACCACAAACATCACACAAAAACATGTACAAAAACAAACAAACAAAAAACCACTTCCTTGTAGTGGCACACACAGTCCACAATGTTATTTCCTTCCTTCTTAATAAAACCAATATGAAAACAAAGGCAAACAGCAGGATCATTTTGCAGGTATTAATTTTAACTAATTTTATTAATTTTAAACCTTGGGCCATAAGTTGCCAGATGGGGTAGAAAGAGGAAGGGTCCACTGCAAATTGTGACCTGAGCTTCTGGTATTACTAGGCTATTTCTATTCTCAGGTGTTGAGGGAAAAGTTTAGAACAATTTTCTTTCTCTTCATGGAGTAATTCTTGATATATATTATCACAAAATAGCAATGTTTATCCCGTGAAATCTAATCCCTTCTTTTCCCCCAATGCCCATAGCATGACACTGGCTTGTGACCCCCACATAAGTGTAACTCCTTAGATAAAATTATACAGCTGTCTAGATGGAAGGCATGAATTACAAAAATATTAGTGTAGTTCTCAGCAACATGCCCAGAAGAAGAAATATACTTGTTAAACAAAAGTCATTCTGCTTACAAAAACATATTTTTAAATTGAAAAAATAAGATTGTTGAATTTATTTGAAATCACTTCTCTTAGACAAATATTTTAGGCACTTTAAAACTCTGGAAGGGAAGCCCTCCCACAGTCTTGAAGAAAATGCTCTAAAGATGTAGAGCTACATGTTCTCCAAGGCAGTGGCAGAACCTAGATCTCCAGATTCAGGCAAATGTCCTCCCACCAAACCTACAGGAACAGTCTTGTTGTTATAATATTTCCCATAAACATAAATACTTAATTTTCCTATGCAAAACTCAAATAACAGAATATGAAAATCTTACTCTAGAATTCCTCATTCTCTGAGGATTATAATATTCTTAGGAGTATCAGGTCATAAATTCAAGTAATCTCAAGCAAAGAATATATACAAAGTTGGACCACATGTTTTCTAACCAGCGTGACTGGATAAAAATACAGGCATGCTTCTCTATCAAGGCCCATTTGTTTTCCATCAATCTAGTCAAGTCTAGCAGTTATATGCTAACTAAGAAAAACCTTAGAAAGTCTCAGTGGAATTTAGTCACAAACCACATTACTCAGCAGTGTCAAGACTAAAGTAGCCATGGATGTGTATAGAAGCACATAATTAAGCTCTTGAGGATCTTCACAGGGCCATTTTTAGGCTTGTAGGCTTTAGAGTCAGGAGCAAAGCAGGTGTTTTGAAGATCTAACTTCTGTTATTAAACAATTCAAATGGCAGTTCAGGGCACAGGCCCTTTTACAAATCCAGTGCTAGACACCAATTCTACTTTGACACATAAACTCCAGAAGGGACATGCACAGATACCACCACGAAGAGCAAGAATAATAACACTTAGAACCAAAGCACAGGAGTCCTAGGTTTTACTACATAAATCTGCTGTAAGCCTGATATGTGAACTATACAAGTCAGTTCATGTCATAGGCTGGAGCGAGTCAAGTACTTAAGCAGATAGCAAACTTGATGCAGACCGTTCTTTTGAAGTTGCATATGCACAAATTCGGTAGGATTCAGCATACAAAGGATTTTTCTCTGTTAATAGTGTTTGATCCAAAACCCACTCTGCTCAGCTGAAAAACTCCAATCCACAACAATGGACTTTAGACAATGCTGTTAAAGAACTGTCCCGCAAGCAACAGCAGCCAAAGCAAATATCTTGCCCATTTCTGTGTTATCTTTCTTTTAACCTCAGCATCTTATAATTATATACATATACATATTTCTAAAGCCTGGGAAGGAAGGAACACCATTTATTTTTATTTAATTAAAGATATTTCTTACCTCCACTGCCCTGGCGACTTGTATGGGACAGCAAGCTCAAGCGCTTTTCTAATTGCAAAGCTTCATGAGCCAATCTTTCTTCTGAATAGGCTGGATTTGTACTTGGATCTTTAAAAAGGAACAGAAAATAAATAAACAAATAAGAAGAAACATGGAAAATATATAAAAAGAAGGGAAAAAAAAAGACATAGTCTTATGTTAGATACTCTGTTCTTGTTTGATCTTCTACTAGAGGAGAGGAAAAAAGCTGATCAGAAAATGTATGGGACAATCTGCCTTCAAGCACATCCTGGAGAAATGCTACTTAATAAGTTATAATTTTAAGTGTCAAAAACTTTCAGATATTATACCCAATATCTGTAAGAGTTACCACCAGGGACAGAACCCTGAAGAGCACAGCACCAAAGGCAATAGCTACAGAGATAATTAACATCCAGCAGGTCTACAGGAGTTGAAACTAATATGTGACCTGTAAAACGTGTCCTGACTTCACTGAGCTCATTGGGAATTTTATCATCAAGAAAGACCAAATTTTTCATCCTACTAATTTACAAATCTACATCAGAGAGTCACAGTGATTAAACTATCTGATACCTTCCAATGCCTATCACCTATTTACACAGACATCGCTTTCAAGTTTGATGTTCAGAAGGTCATTAAGTTCAGAAGTCAGAGATGAAATAAGCAACCTGGTGGCTCTCCATGTTTAATATAAGACAAGTTAGAATGGTAAAAACCACTACTAAAATATACTATAGGGGATTTTCCCCATACATTTTAGTGAGTTTGCCATTCCAGCTGAAATTACTTCACTGAAGAAGCTCCTTCCATTCCAATAGAAAGAGGAAGACCAAAAGTTATACAGAATGTGGAAGAACTTTCATCAGAAAAATAGGCCAGTTTCCTCTAAACCATTTTGTTTCCAACCAGGCACAACAGTAAAACCAGATGTTGGAAATAATCATAACCATTATCCCAAGAGAAGTCTTACAGATTTTTTCAAACAGCACTGCCAAGTGTGTCATGTTCAGCAGTTGCAAAAGATATGGTCTGCTAACTTGTTCATCATTGGAAGCTTCATTAGCTCTTACTAATTATATAGGGAAAGGAATTAATGACAGATAAAACAGATTAGCTTCCTCAAAACTGCTGCTCTTGTATATCTGATCAACTGGGTAGTAGTAGCACACCACAAAAACATTTAATCACTGAATCATTTAATAATAAGAAAGAAAGGATGAAAAGGGCTACACATTGCTGTGGTTGAGTTAGTAAGATAAAAAACAGTTGAAATGATGACAGAAAAGTTTCATTTTCATCCCAGGTCTTTCAGTTTTAAAAGACTTGGGTTTGATGTTGTCAACACAGCAGTCAAAGCAAGCTCACAATCAGGGGAAGGAGCATTTCCAGGTGAGCTGAAGCTCCATGGGAGTCCCTACCTTATTAACTACCTGCGAAACAAGCTGCCACATCTCTCCTCCCTAACGGCATTCATTTTCTGACCTGCCCTGGATAGATCTGAGTGCGTCACAGGACCAGAAGTGACAATGCTGAACTTTCTTTCCCATGTAGAGGGGGTTTCCATCTTTAGCAGTCTGGATGAGATTAGCAGAACAAGCCAGACACACACAGAGTCCTTCTGTAACAGCGTATGTTGGAAATCAAAGATGTTCTAACAGGAACAAGGCAAAATGCCTGTGACAAACAGGTCTTTGACCTCTGTGTCTCCCAGCTCAAACAGTGCTTGATGTCAGTGTCTGACACCTTCCCAACTTAACTTTAAGAAAAGAGGACTGTTTGATACGGATTATTTTGTTAGGTCTCCATTCCTATTTCCCCTGCAATACAACTCATATTAAGCATTGACTAGTTCAAACCTGTGTAACTGCTTACTCAAACGAAACCCCCAATATGGACCTCTGCCAAAGGAAAATACAAGATTTGGCCACCAGCACCTATGGTGCAACCCAGACAGGTCTATGCAAGGATCTGCTCAGTGGCATACAGTGTTACAGGCTACTGCTTGAACCTATTTTTGAATGTCCTCTGCGGTTACTCTGCTGAATCTAGTTAAATGTCCTTATATCCAAAAAGGTTCAACAAAGATGTTCTACGAGCACTTTGAGTATAAAGTTGGCATAACAGATCAGCAAATTAGTCATACCAAGATGCAACAGACACTAACCCTTCCCACAGCAAAGAACTATCAGTAGGAAAGATCTTTCCACTTTCCTCAGAATATGATTACTTGATAAATACAGTTTTTCCTAATGTTACTAGGGAACATACACAACTATTAGTTTTTTAGTAACTGATATCCCTCTTACAGACAGCAAAAGATATAATTAAAAAAAAACTGGTCAAGCAACTGATGTTGCAAAAATGGCCTACAATAAAATACAAGATGGGGAGATAGGAGGGAAGTTGAAGCAAATCAGTAAGTTTGCATGTCACATGTTCAATTGCTTCTAGAAGCCAAATTCCATATCAACTACACAGCTACAGAACACAACAGTTTTCACCCAACAACATGAAATCTCTAGGCATACTGTCTGTCCAACAGGACTGATAATTTTTTGGTTAAACTTGCCCTTACAGATTGCCTATGTATAAAAGGTGTGTATAAAATTGGGTTCATAGTTATGTGCTGTGACTTCTCATTGCCCAGTTTTGAGGAAGATTGATTAGAATAATCCTTTCTCAGCAAGGACCAGGAAATATCTAGAGAAACAACTTCAAAACCTGCCGAACATATATAGACTTAAAGTCCTAGGCAGGTATTAAAAGTAATTGTCCATCAGTCTTACTGAAGTCTTTGTTTTGCCTTTAATCTTCCCTGCTGATAAGCAAGACTTCTATGGAAAACACACACAATACTATTCTCCAGAAGCAGCAGATTCCTATACCAGTATTTTTGGTTACAAACTACCAAGCACTAACCAGGAGGTTTTGCTACAAGATCAGACTAAGGACCGAAGTCACTGACAGCCACCTTTTAGAGACCAGTCCTTACTGGAGAGCATAACCTATGACCTCCTGTCATATAAGTGTAGAAATATGGCCTAAAAAATGGTAAAAACAAGGGGTTTTTTCAACAGTAAAGTTGGATTTGGTGGCATCATCCTATACCTTGTGCATGCACAAAGCCTCTAAATAACTGTGTAGTAATTTGCCATGTTACTAACTCAGGAGGACAGAAGCAGCATGACCGGTACTGAGACAGCTGTCCAAGGAAGTTCAGACAGCTTCTGCCCACACAACATCCTACAGTAGCTCCAACAACTCTAAGAGCAATTAGTACCTTCATTTCCCAAACTCTAAACAAATGTATCCTATAACATGATTTACTCCCATAGAATCTAGGCAGTTAGATTCACTCGGGTCCTCCAATTAAGAAAGTGTTTTATCATTTTCCAAACAAAAATGGATCCCTTGCTATGAAGAAAAATCTTTTGTGTGAGGCAATCATTGAAATCTTATTAAACACTGCTTTGGGGCAAAGGGGAAGGATTACATCAAATTTGGCTGGACTAAAAATGCCTCTGATGGAGATTTTATTTTTATATTACGTTGGTGGATATTCATTAAAGCCACATCAGCTGCTCATCGTGGGAGATTTTGAATACTTTGGTAACACATTAATAAAGTGTCACAGTAATTCAAAGCTCCAGGGTTGTTCAGTAAGCACCTGTCAGGAAAAAATGTATCAAGTCAGCAGCTACCTAAGATATGCTTGATTATATGCATCTTTAAAATGCAACATTGGTTAATTACTTCATTAAACAAAGTTAGATAAGTTAGGCAGAACATCTCTCCTTTCTTTCTTCCTTTGTAACTGTAGGCACATTTGCAAATCAGGCCTGGACCCTCACCTTCATGCTAACATCTCCACACCTTGTAAGATGTCTGGAGGAATGAAAAGATGTCCTAAAAGTTTGAGGAGGATCCACTTGGTACAGATACTGCAGAAGGCAGCCACAGAGCTGTCTTGCAATGGCCAAAGGTGTATCAAGCTTCAACAAAAAGAAAGAGCATCAGATAGATCCTCAGCAAGCAGCACTGCACACTCACCAGTCAGTCACAAAGCAGCCTGAAAAAGCTTCCAAAATTAAAAGAGAGCATCAAGACTATCAACATTACACTTGGGGTCTTTCCAGCCTGCAGGACTAGACTGTCCCGTAGCCTTAGTCAGATTTAGAGAGTACTGATCTGCCCACTGATCAAAGGTATCACTGATCGGCTGTTGGGCCTTTGTTGTGTTTGTGTTTGGCATTCAAGATGAATTTTGCTAGTGAAAAGAAGGAATTCAACACACACTTGATAAACAAACATTTCTCAAATAATATGCATGCAAATTCAGTATAGATTACAAACCATGCAATCAGTGATTCATTACTCTGTCAATACCTAGACTTCTGTCAGGACAAGAACATAAAATTCTCTGGTCTGTTTTCTAAGTATCTTCTCAAGAAAAAAAGTTGCAAGTTGTGAGTAGCCAATTACAGCAATTATCTTCCAACTAGTAGCTGGAGAAAACAAGCCATCCAAAGATATCCTGTCACTCATTTGAGTCCTTTATTTAAAACGCTACACTGCCTAAAAACGTTTACAGATACCTACACTACCTTTGCATTCCCACTCAATGCCGTATGTCTTAAATTTGAGACCTGATCATGCAGCCTTTAACAAATCAAAACCTCCAATCTGCTAATGGAGCTACCAATAGGAGTATTTTGGTACAATTTTGCAGAATTAATGGACTCCCAAAATAAGTACCACACAGTAGAAAACTGTAAAACATCTAATGTTCTTTTTCTTTTCCATTTTATTTTGGATGTACACAGAATAGAATTATTTTTATCGTAAGAATATTCACATTCATTTGATACCCATTTCCAAAACGTCACAGAATAATTCAGGTTGGAAGGGATCTCAGGAGTTCTATGGTCTAACCTCCTGCTCAAAGCAGGTCAGCTATGAGAGATTAGACCAGATTTTGATACCTTGCAATAGTCAGTCAAGTTTACGAGTTCCACTGTGCAGCTTTTTCATTACATATTTTATAGATGACATAATAAAATACATTCAGTAATCACATATCTATAAGAACACCAAGCTTTTAAGGAAGTAAGGTATATTTTTTAAAACTGCAATCCTGAAAAGAAGATGTGAATATTGTACTTGAGCAAATATCCCTTGCACATGCAGTTTACAAACTCCTTTGGGACGCTGGGCAGTTTACATTTGTTTAAAGAATCACTATGGGAAGTAAAAGTAAGAAAACTGGTCATTTTCCAGCCCTCTTCAAACCAGTCTCTACCATTTCCTATTAATTTCATGCTAACACTTAAATATTTCAGCACTCCATTTAACCATATGGTTGAGCTGTTTGTACATGAAGCCACTGGCTTCATTCATTACCCTTTTGCCAAAGACAGACTCAGCAGATGTTGACCGCATAACGTCTCTAGATTTTACATTTGTTCCGTGGGCATTGGTGTCCAAGAACACTGTCAATGTGACATTTTTTTCACCACATTACATTCTTTTCTTTGTACAGCTGTCCTTTGTGTGTTTTCCTTTCTTGAAAATACCTAAGAGTTATTGAAGCATATTTCGTGTTTAAGTTGGAAAGGTACAGGCAACAGCAAGAAGCCAAATTCAAACAGCAAACTGTGGAGAGAAGGCTGCTTCCTATAAAAGCTTTTAAATTACACAAAAGCAGAACATTGCATAAAGCACAGTTGAGGCTGTGTAGCATTCTGCCCTGCAGTAAATACGAATAACATTGACTAGATGTTTTGTGGTAGAATCCCCAATCTGGAAGTTTTGATCTAGTTACCTGAGGTGTGCAGATGATTAATCTATTTAATAACTAAACCTTTCAAAAGGTTGGGTGAATTTCAATACTCTTGCCAGATACAGTATGCAGCTGGTAGAGACTTGACCTTTTCAAGCAACACAGTACATGCTGTGTAACAGCATACTTGATAAGGAAAATTAGTTTATGGATGAATCACTAGTATTGTACATGTGCATGTGCCTTAAACAGGTCTGTGCAAGCTTCTGCATGGGGTAATAAATGAAGGAGAACATGAAAAATAAACATTTTCTATGAAGGGACGTGTACATAGAGGGTGACAACAAACTGGAAGAGACAAGGGTAAAGATACAGGGAAATATAAGTTAGAGGGGTCAAAGTAGCTTGGAAAAGGGCTGCAGAGGAGTCTGCAAGAACGTGAGCACAGTTCCCTACAGGACACTGCTCCTGTCCAGGGAAACAAGGTGAAATCGAGTGGCTGGGTACATCTTCACCTCATTTTAGTGGCAAGTCCATCAAGCACAGAAGACAAATGAAAAAGACCTCAGAAAAGAGGTCTTCCCTTACAAAAATCACCAAATCATCCCCAGGATATTCCACATCCACTTTATGCACTTCAGTGAGGTCAGAGCTCTTGAAGGAGGGAAGGGAATGTGTTATGTGGCTATGTATAACAAACCACAAATGCCAGAGTTGCTAAGATGTGAAAGCAGATTTACTTCTACATGCCTCTAAAAAAAGATTTTTCAAAGAATGTGCCTTCTAAAATTAAAATTTAAAAAAATCAATTAAAAAAAGGCAACAATAGTTGCTTGTAGACTTAATTTTTCTGGACATAAATTTTTGTTAAATGAAAGACAGGAGTTGTATATGTGTAATACAGTTTTAGATATGCAGAAAAATATGCATTCAATAATAAAGCTTTAAGCATCAGCACTGTTTTTTGGGTTTCTGTTGTTTGCTTTTTTTTAACACTCCACTTAGTTGAATGCAAACACAGATCATCATATAAGAAGAATGAGGTTTTATTGCCCACTATTCTGCTTGATTATTTTATTTACTTTGGTGCTACAACTATGGGAAAGAAGAGATGAACTGAGCCTTGTGTCTACTGCATTTATCTTAACTAAGTTTTCATAATTTATTTTCACAATTTTTGCATCCAGTTCTAATCTTTTCCATCGCATTTTCTTCCTGCAATTATCTTAATCATATAACAGCAATAAAACCCTGTCAAACACCTATTAACTGCCTAACACTTAAACAGAAACTCTAAGTATTTTCCAGAAATCCCACCTCATCCTTCACCGTTCTTGCAGCCTATTCCCACTGTATCCCACTGCCAATTCACAGATATTTTTCTGCAATCTCATTTCCGCACTCTTGCCCCATTTGACACAGTCATTCCGACTCAATATTATGTTTCTTCATCTGCTAAAGTCAAAAGTCAACAGGGCTTACAATGATGCCATCTAATTTCCTCTCTGAACATTACAGCGCATGCACCATTTACCATGAAATAGGAAAAGGAATTTAATCCTTGCACATCAGAAAAGAAGCTCAAGCTGCAAAACTGAAATGTAATCTGGAGGCCTGACAAAGTTTTCTAAGGTTGGCAAGACTTAGTTCTAAGTGTTTTAGATGAACTCAAAATGCCCTAGAAGTTAGTTTTCCCTTAAACTATCAAAATAGTAATGCAGACATGGATCCAAGTTGAACTATGTAAGTTTAAAACTAAAGGTTAGGGTTCCTTTCAATTCAAATTGTCATATTTTAGTACTGTTAAATAAGAAAAGGCTAAAGTTAGCAATATCACCAGAAATATGAATGAGCCAGAGCAGCAGGGGGAAACTGGGTACATTCAACTGATAAATCTGTACTGTGACATTTCAGAATGAAAACCACTTTGCACTTTCTACACCCTTAGTGTCTGCAAGCTGTTCTTACAATCACAGCAATAAGTGCTAGACATAGCAAGTTCCTACTTTACTCAGTTACTCTATACTTCCTATATTAACCTGGTAGGACTGGACGCAAACCAAAAGGGCCTTTCGTCGGGGAGATGCCACGGACGATACAGTCGAACAGAAAGCTGATCTGCTCTCCTTCAGCACAAGAAAGGAAAAAAACACCAGCCCCTGCAAGAAAGCACAACATAATTATGTGTTTTTCACCTGGATACATTAGAAATATATTTAGCTGAAGCTATTTATAATTTAGGAATCAAAAGAGTATTCAGTGCAAGCCGTGAAAAGAAATCAACAAGACATGTCCTTAAGAGAAAAGAAATGAAAAAAAAAAATCAGGTCAGCACACACACACTATATCATGAACATACACATAAATTCAACAGCTACCTAATAATTTATGCTAATTTTCTGAGATTCAGGCAATTAGAGCAATGCCAAAATACAAGCCATATGCTCAACAGCTGTCTGGGTCTTTTATTCTTATTTATCCCTAAAATTTTGTAGATCAAATCCTAGCTATGAAAGTGTCAGGGATACTTAAAGTATCTTCATCAAAATGAACCAAGTTAATTCTACTGTTACCCAGTTTTAACCAAGTGCAGCTTTTCATATCCCAATGAATTAGGATTTGGTTATATTGCTGACTTATATTATACATTTTCCTAGAATAAGTCCTACGTGTCTATTATTAACAGAATGTAACACGACTCCACAGGTTGTCATCAGATCTTTACCCTTTGCTCTATTCTGATATTTTGCTTTCCATTCATTAAGAATAGCCCCAAGCAAAATTAGAATGAGAATCACTAAATAAACAAACAAGTTCTGAGCTGCATGATATATGGCTACACGGACAACACACAAGACTAGAAGTGCTCCACAGAACATTTTATTTGAGAATTGTCAGTCCAAATATTACTCATATCAAGAAAGAAAAAAAAAAAAGTCTAGGTGACCTTTTTGATGCTCTTAAAAGACCAGGCAAAAGACCACCCCAGTAACCAGTGACTTCAGGAAAAAAAATACAATAACCAGATACAAAAGGATATTAAATTAGTATATAGGCCTTGAAGAAGTGCTGCCAATTCACCAAAGCCATACACAGTAGAAAACCACAATACCGACCTGCAGTAGTGTTTGGCATATTACTTTCCTAGGGACTTGGGACCCTAATCTGGACATAAGTTTGACTTCTGCATGTCTCTAGCCAATTCTGAGTTGCATACATATTTTTGCCAGTTTTACTTAAAGCAGCAGAGCTGGTCTTGACCAGAATGCCTGGATCCCCACCACTTTCCACACATATGCCCTGTCATATCCAACAGGATATTCACATTTCATTTAAGCAATGGATACACTTTTGACTGCTTGACAAAGGGCTATGGGATTCAAACAAAAGGGATAATAAAGAGTGGACCACAAACCAAGTTAATTATTTTAGTAAATTAGATATAGCCAGCAAGCAGTAAACTGACCACTCTAGGAAAAGCATATTCTGGTCCATGCTCTTTTGTCATTCTCAATTTATGTCACATCTAAGTCTTTGCCTGCTCTGCTTAAATCTGTTCAAGACAACATTGTTAGCAGCATCTTCGTAACTTGATTTGTCACTGCACCACATTTGTTCCTCTTCAGATCTTACTGATAAAAACTTCTCCAGCCAAAGAAACAGAAATCCTGTTCCTGGTACAGTTTATTTCATTTGATGAACTGCTATAAATTCAACTGGAATTAGAATTCACTCACTGGTAGAAGTTAAATTTATACTTAAGGGCTGGCTTGCCAATCATTTCTAGACTACAAGGTCTTCCTTGAGACTCAGGATAGACAAATATTAAAACACTAAGCTATGTTTAAGTAACTGAAAAGATGAACACACACTAGCTCATGAAATATAAACCAAAGTAAAGCCTACTTAACTCCACACTTCTGTGGTATTGTTTTTTATTATTGTTTTTAAAAACAAGTTTGTCCCACGTTTCCTCATGGCACATATACACACCCTGGCTTCAGTATCAAAGACCATCTAGGAGATTACAACCCTAATCACAAAGTCTAACAGGTATGAAGGTTTCTGGTGGTGACTCACTCACAGTCTTGTCCCATTTCCCCTCCCCAAGAGATGCCAAAGAGTCAGAGAACTCTGTATTAGAAAGAGCTGGGTGCAAAGTACGTATTCAGGAATGACTCGAAATTCAGCTCTTCCTTTGAGCTGCCTTCTCCTCCCCCCACAGAGTAGATGGAGTATAGGGAAATCAGTTTGCCTAATCTTAAATGGTATGACTCTTCCCCCATGAACCACACTGATGCCAGAAGACATGCCTTTCTTGAGGGAGCAGGGCAGCACAAGGCTTTGATGGGCTCTGAACACGACCTTCCCATCCCATGCACAATAAGCAAGCAGAGTATAGAGACAACATAACAGGACATTCGTACCTCAAGCACAGTGATAAACTATGTGGCTTGATAATTCAGCAGAATCCTACACATCCATGTTGCCATTCAGGAAAAGAAGATTCCTCAAGTAGATAAAGAGTGCATCTGGACCACTTTGTTCTTTTATCACTATTGTCAAGAGTCTTAATTAAACTCCTAAGAGGCTCTACAAGACACTGACTTTAATGGAAACAAAAAAGTAAATGTGTGCATGTGAGCTGGCTGCTTAACTCAAAGGATGATTTTTGTGAAGAACTATCACACATTTGGAAATCCTAAAAACAAATGTGACGGCCTTTATGTAACTAGTACAAACAGTGTATGCACATGTGCACATAGATACGAATCCAATATACACATATGCGTAAAATATTTCTTTGTAGATTCTGTTATTCACATGACCACTGTAATGGCTGATCAACTCTCACAGGAAATGTTTTCTTTCTTGTTTTGCTAGGTAGAACTAGATTGCAAGGGAAGGAAGAAGTCTGGGGGTCCTTGCAAAAGACATCAGGTGAGATGAATGAATAGGTTAAGGCTTAACTAAGTTATGTTTTAAAAGCATACATAAAAGCCAGCAATTACATTTCTTTTCTGCTTTCTTGAGAAAGCTGAGAAATTCACTACTAGAAATTACACATTTCAGTCATGTGTTGGAACAGATTTGGTGCACAAGCATTTGGAAGCCAAGGAATATGTGGTATGCATCACTGTAATACCATGCAGCTGTTTACTAGACTGAAGAGCTCACTCACTCACTCTCTCCATGGGGTAAGAGACTTGGTGAAAAGCAGCCTGCAACCACTTGCACAAGGCTGAAACACTAAGCCAGTCCTCTGTGGCAGTTAGCAGTAAAGCATCGTACAGTCTCCCAAACGTTCAAGAGAAGTTGCCAATTTCATAGAACTTCCAAATATTATTAAATTTTGCTAACGTTTGATTTTAATTCATCATATTAAAAAAGCAAACCCATGGGCAAACACATCCTGAAAATGCACAATAACCAAAAATTACTTAAATCTCCGTACTATGTGTGAAAGCAGGGAGGAAGAGTCAGTCCATTCCCTTGAATTATTACTCCTAAGAGGTGCCAGGCAATGCTAGAGCCTGAAGTCTTTTAGCTACAGGACAGGTATGAATCATGGCAGTTCAGTTCATGGCAATCATCATGTTGTCCAACCCGTATGTCTCAATCCTGCCCTTGAGCAACCCCCTTTAGAAGGTATCTCAGGCTGCATGGCTCAGGCTGCTCTTCTCTCTGGTGAAAATGACAATGGGTGTTCCTCTTATTGCCAGCTAAGACATGGGCATGACTACTGAAAACAAGATAAGAATGTTTGTTGTCTGTAGTAGACCTAAGTAGGAGAAAGCAACAGAACAATATCTGCACATAAACAGAAGTTTTAATCTACACAACCCAGAACCTTTCAAGAAATTCCAGATATTGCCCCAGTTCAACCACCTCTACTGCTTCTAATTTTCAAATAAATGGCCCAGATGCCTTTTTTTGCAACTGGTATGTGTGATTGAGCTTCAGCTACAGAGAGGCTGGGGGCAGGGGAGCCACATTTTACCCAGAGATGAACTTATTTGCAGCTGTCAGAAGTAGAAGAAAGGATTTTCTAATCTCTAGCAGTACAATTGTCATGTTAAGAGCAAGAGAATTTCAAAATGTAAATGCTATTTTTCCTATTTAAGAATAAACTGGTGTTATCCATCTCGAAAATGCACCTAGATTTAATGTTTGAAATCACAGCATTATCTCAGATGGTTTCCCTCTACCTGGATTGAGCACCAAAGCCTTCAGAGCTGAACAAAACCTGTACTGAGCAACTAATTCAAAAACATAGTTAAGTATTCTATATTTATGAGAAATTTTGTGAGGAAGGAAGGAACAGAAAGCTAAAACAGATTCAGATCCTTTTAGACCTCAATTCTACCACAGAAATATCCAAAAGTAAGCTCTGCTTCTCTTTGGGACTTCATGGTTTTTTTATGGATCTAACCACAAGATCATCAGTTCCTTTTTAGTAAGGCATTTATTACAGTGGTATTTAAAACTTAAATTCACTAATCCTCTGCATTCAGAGCTTCACAGAAAGAATGGGAGCAAAGATATGGTTTAACCTATGGGAAAGTAACATTCATAATAGAGTCTGTATAATATCGCATGATGTTTCTATGACAGGGTAATGGAGAGTGCTTTCATTTAGGAATTAAAACAACTTGTGTAATAATGTATCAGGTTTTTTTTCCTGGACACTACTTGTTTGTCCTATTCCTCAAGAATTTCAGAGGAATGAGGTAAAAGAGTCAGATACCTGAAGAAAGATGGTCTTTCCTTTTACCAGCACTTTTCTGTTAAGAAGAACCAGAGTTATATTTTTATTTAGGTCCCATTTACAAAAAGCATTTTCTTCTAGTGGCAGTATTAAATCAAATATTTAAACTAAACACATATTTAAATGTTGTTATGCTTGCAGATGTGTCTAAGTGCTCAGTTAAGGGCATCAGCTCCTTTGAGAAGCTTGAACTGAATATGTAAAGTTTCCTACCGTGGCAGGCTATTTTGTACCAATATAAATATGCTGTTCTTCCCTTTGAAGGCACGTGTGCAGGGGAAGAGGCAAAAACACCCTTCCATGGCAACTGAAGGTTCTCAGCTATCAAGACAGACATTTCTTAAGAAAAAAGAAACATAAATATAATGTTAAACAGCTCCTTTGAGAAGC